AAAAATTTGCCATGTAATGAACTAGAAATCATATATTTGTGATCCTTAGGTGATAGAGAACAACTTCCTTCGAAAAATCTCGGAATCCGGGCACGTGGGCCCGGGGTCGGAATTTAGGAAACTTGTGTTAATGGTTAGAAAATTGCCTAAATAGTTAGAGTTCGACCTTGTAAGCCTTTATTTACTAGTTCTTACTTCGTTTGATTAGTTTGGGATTGTTCGGCTTCGAATTAAGGACTTGGGCTCGTTCTTGGACATTGGAAGTGCACTTTGGAGCAAGGTGAGTCTCCTTTCTAACCTTGTAAGAGGGAATTGTCCCCATAGGATTATAAATGAGTAATTGTTGTTAAATGCAGGGGCTACGTACGTACTAGGTGACGAGAGTCCGTGCGTAGCTACTATAATGATAATTGTTCGGGTAGTTTAGGACCCATGTCATGTCTAATTGGGGAATATTTCTTGTTTTAAATTGCCAATATGATCATTTATGATTTGCTAGAGACTTGAGGAAATGAAAAGTGAACTTATGAGTTTGTTGAGTCTTGGTAGGAATTCCCTTGTATGTAATTGAGCCTTATGTGCTTTCCTGATATTTTCTTGATGATTATGGACCGGGCCGATCGCCTCGGTGAGAATAGATGCATTTGTGGTTCGTGCCGCTCGACCCTCGGCAGTGCACAATTTATTTTCTGTTGGAGCGGGCCGTCGACCTCGGCATGATTGTGCATGATTTATATGCTTACATTTAGATATGACATGATCACTTGTTTAATATAAAAAAGGGAAAACTGGTAGTTTAATTATGTCAAGAACATGAATATGACTTTTCTCTTAAACTTGTGTTATTGGAAATTCTTCATGCTGTATATCTCACTTTATTATTATATTATCTTGACCTTAGTAAGTATCAAGTCGACCTGTCGTCTCTACTTCTTCGAGATTAGACGGGATACTTACTGAGTACATGTGGTTTATGTACTCATACTACGCTTATGTACTTAAATGTACAGGATTTGAGGCAGGTGGATCTGGACATCATCCTGGTGCGCATCAGTGAGCACGCTTGGGGACTTCTACGGTGAGTTGCTTCCCTTTCATGCCGATCCGCAGCTGAAGAAGTCCTTTCTTGTACTTTTTTGTTTCTGTCTATTCTGGTTCAGACAGTAGGATAGTGTATTATTCTTTTGTGTATATTCTACTAGTCGCCCGTAGCTTGTGACACCAGGTTCTGGCACACACAGTAGTAGACATTTATTTTGGGGTTGTATCGCTATTTTAGCACTTTATGGTCTTTACTGGTCTTATCTTTAAATTCAAAAATCTAGTATAACTGTCTTTGGCCAAAATAAAATGAGAACTTAATCACATTCCGCATCGGCTGGCCTGACAACGGTGTTAGGCGCCATCATGACCTATTATGTAAAATGGGTCGTGACAATAAGCTTGCCCTTAATGTAAATCTCTACTAATGTAGGCTCAATCGATCTAAAATCAATTAGGACTTTTTCATGGTTGTAATGTGGGCTAAGGGACAAGTAGGATATATTTAGGAATAGTGACTAACCCTCCTAAGCACTTTAACACATCACATAATCAACTTTAAGTGCAATTTCTTCAATCCACGCACAATGTTGAGTGCGGGCGCAGAACATAAGGAAATCTCTGACAGAATTCCCATGAAAAATGCGGACCTACAATTCTAGTGCGGCCGCTGAAGATGAAATTCAGAAGTTGTATTTTTGGGCCATGAAGAAGTGCGGACCGCACCATAATTGTGCGGCCGCAGGATGTCAAGTGCGGCCACACTCATAACTGTGCGATCCGCAGAAGTGGAGAATCAGAGAGACATGTTTTTGGACAATTGAAGATGTGCGGACCGCACTATTATTGTGCGGCCGCACTCATAAATATGTGGTCCGCATATCGAAGGCAAGCTCCAGTCCAAGTTCAAGTGTGCGGCCGCACTCAGAAATGTGCGGTTCGTACAACTAAATGATGTGCGGCTGCAATAACTTGAAAAACGACTAAAACCAAAAATATTGTCTCTTAGCTTTATAATTACAATCAATAGCTTAATAGTAGAAGTAGAAACAACATTTAAAAATGTGGAAGTGTAATTTTAGGCACATTATACAGTCACACTAGGTATATACCTAATCCAAAATCTAACTCCCTATGGATTCGACCCTGACTTGCGTTAGGTTCTTATTATTGCTTCGACTGCTCACACCTATATTTATGGTGTGAGTTTGGGTGACATCATAGACTAAGGAATCATGACATTTGCGTAGCTTGAGGTTGGACCGTATATACAAGGTATGTGAGGCTATCCCCACTACAAGAAATTACCCTTATTGTGGCGACTGAAGTCGCCACAAAATCCCTAAGAGTCGCTGTTAAAAGGTATTAGTGGCGACTTTTGTATTGCCACAAGGAAACCCGTAACTAAAGGTTATTTGTGGCGACGTTTTGTAGTCGCCACTAACAGAACATATTTTGTGGCGACATAGTTGACACAAAAGGTTGGAAAAAACGCTACAAAAAATTGTTCCATAAGAACAAATATTAGATGGGTCGGCACTATAAATGTCCTTTAGTAGCGACTAAAATTGCCACAAAAAATATTTATGTATAGTGGCAAGATTATGTCGCCACTATAAATGTCATTTAGTAGCGACTAAAATTGCCACAAAAAATATTTATCCATGGAAGACACAATATTTTCTGCAGCGACTAAAGTCGCTGCAAAAGAAATTGACATTCTGTGGCAACATATACATCGCAAAAGTTACTAATTTTTTGACAAAGCTATGTCGCCACTAAAAGTTATTTTCTCAGCAATTATAACGACCAAAATTATATACATTTCCATGCCATGTAGGAACCTAATTCTCTAAAATTTCATATAGAGATATTCATATCAATTAACTATCAATATTAAAGCAACCAATAATGCTTGACAAACAACAAAAGAATTTCTCAAGCCGAATATTATAAATATTATCATTACTAAAAAGTCAATTACATATATACTACCCGACACTTCATTGTGCATTGTAATTGTACGCATATACATATCCCAAAAAAGACAAAATATTAAGTGCCTTGTAACTACTCCTTGCTCCATACCATCCTTGAACGATACTACTGTTTAAGTGCCATGTCCCTACTAGACAAAAGTAATATATATGAGGAAAACCAAGTAAATTTGTTCTATGCTATTTCAATTGTGAAATGAAATGGCACAAGTGTGAGAACATAAGTTTTCAGGCAGAAAAACAATGAGAATACAGAGGCATCATGAACAAAACAGATCAATAAATTTTAAAGAATTAATGGGTCCTAAAATAAAAGAAGTAAGAATGGCTATATACATTAGGTTAAATTCCCTATTTCCCTTCTAGTTCATCTGATGAAGTATTCCACAATGTAGAGGCATCTGAATGCATAAGGACTATATAAAAATCATTGTGCCAGAATCTCCTCCCCAAGTCATTATTGGCTGGACTGGAGCTAGAAATGCATGTTTAAATCAAGATATGTTGCAGAGAAGGGGAAATCCTTGGGAATGTGCTAATCAGCCTTTGCAGTTTGCAGTCATTGCAGAAGAGGAAATTACAAGCTTTGGTAAACCATAAATTTCAGTCTAGCACTAACATGAAAGATTGTGATGAGATATACTTTAGTCACTGATACAAACTCATTATTAGTGTATCCTGCAGGATATGCAAATTTAATACTGCTAAAAGTAATTCTAAGTTTAACTTGTTTGTGCCATAGAAAATATTCGCGGACATGTACTCTGGTATCAAGTTCCAAAGAAATTTATAAATTAATGTGCAGATGCTCATTCTGTATACACAAATGATCGATTAGAGCAGCCTAAGTTAGCAGTAAGATCCACTATATTGATTTCAATGAGATGCTTTATGTATTAACAGATTTGAGGAACCATTTTCTCCAACAGCAAAGGACACCATTTGATGGACTATTCTTCATTTTAATAATGACCCCATCTAAGTTGTTTAGTTCTGCACTGAGAATCTCTAGTGAGATCAAATAGCAAAGCTTTCACACGCTTTTTGCCTGTTACGGACAATTTTAATTGCCATCTTTCGCAAGACCAGAAAGAATTAGCTTATTTTCAAAATTGGTTGGTCGCTACCTGCCTGTAAAGACTAAAGCATAAAAACTTAATTTTCAAAATGAGAATGCATCAGAATGTGGAAGCATGTCCCAAGTCCCAACCCTGGTTTATGTGTTTATCTATAGATAAAATGTTGTCTTACCATGACTCTTAATCCCAGTGATTATGGGATACCACTCTTAAGAAAGCTGCTCACTTACCTTATGATTAATTAGTCATCTAATTATTAGCAAGCAGTTGCTTGATAAGCGCACCTTAAATGAGCCATTGATAACACCATGTAAAATGCATTTAACTAGCTCAGAATTGACACAACAATCAGTTGTTTTGCCTCCAAGCATTGGCACAACTAGAAAGAGGCACCAGATCCTTGAAAGAAAAATCAAAGACTACATCTAACAGCAAATTGATTTGTGCAATCCATTTAGTAACATTTGATTGAAAATGGGACAGTGTCAAAGTCAAGCACAACTTTTTCTGTTTCAATTCACAAAGAATAAAAGAAAGTTAATTGAGTAAATCGTTATGCACCCTCCAAGTTTGTACACTCAAGGAGTTGGTGAAAACAGAAAACGAAGTAAACTGGACAACATCAGTGAATTGTTTGGCATAACAAACTGGAGCTCCCTCTAGCTTATTTCTAAGAATGAGTTAAGCCGTGCATAAGTATCTATATTGAAGCAAGAGAAGAACATAACTCCAGAAAGAATAGAACTCCAGAAAGAACAGAACTCCAGAAATAAGTATCTAGCTTATTTCTAGCTTATTTCTACAGGACTCCAGAAAGAACAGAACATACTGTTAACAGAAGGGCAAATGAACATATCTATATTGAAGCAAATGAACAGCCTTTTCAACAAGTTAACAGAAGAACACCAGATCCAAAAAGAAAGTTCAGTGGCAACCTCAAAAGGACAACAATCAATGTGAAGCCAAGGTAGTCCAACAGCAAAATCAGAAGGTTACCACCATAGAGAACACCACAATGCCTGGTGGTTACTAAACCCCTAAACATGAAGTCACTACAGAAGGAAGGAAGAAGAAATGTCGAGAAGGAAGAAGAATTGTTAAGAAGGAGCGGAGCAAGTACCTTTGTTGTTGCATTCTGGTCAAGAAACTAGCAAATTGTTCATGCATCTTCTTCTCCACTTCTAGAGAGATCCTCTTGTCTGTTTCTGCATTTGCGTGTTGACGCTCCTCATTTGCGTGTTGACGCTCCTCTGCCAACTTCCTTTCCAACTCAATTTCCATATTTCTTCGCAACTCAGCAGCCATTTGTTCACGTTCTTCTTGCAACTTCCTATCCATCTCGGCTTGCATCTCTTGACGCACAATATCAATAGCAGAAGACACGCTGGCCTCTATGTTTGCCTGCTGAATGTTACTCTTTTTAGGAGGCTTCTTTCCGTATCCTTTTCCACGAACATAGCCTGTTCTCTCACCAACAACGGAGGATAAAATCTCATCTCTAGTCATGGGATGCTCGATATCCTCAGATTGTTGCTGAGTGACAACTTCCTGGAGTTGACCCTGCATTTATGCATAATTTAAATCAAAACATAATAAAACATATTAAATGAAACTTACAGAAACAGAGAACTTTATAAGTGTTTTTAGATAATTACATGAATTTGTTGGGATTGTGAATCCAACCACACCAGTTCGCCTCTATCATCCTTGCGTGTATGTTGGATCTCCCAAACTTTATCTGGTGTGTCCAATTCTCCAGTAATAGGATTTCTCTATAATATAGTTACGGAAAAAAATATATAAGCAAATATATAAATATGTAAATAACAAAGAAGCATATGTGATAGTAGGGGATTAAATATATTTTTACCGTAGATTCCTCTACTTCTGCAAAAGACTTTGTACCACAAGTATGCTTAATTATTTGTTTTTCTCTATTTCTTTTATTCCTCTCACTTACAACCTGTAAGTAAACAGATTAATAAATCATCATTCAAAGAGACAATCTTCAGGTATTAAGTTAATACCTTAAATTCCGGACTTTCAAAATATTGTATTAGGTATTTCCAAAATAAGTCTCCACCCGACCCATAATTCTTGCAACTCTTCAATCATTGGTTGTAAATATACATCGATATCATTGCCTGGACACTTGGGGCCCGGAATAAGAAGCGTCATCATGAAATATGGATTTTTCATGCAATCCCATGGTGGCAAGTTATACGTAGCTAGTACGACTGTCCAAATGCTATGATTAGAACTCATGTTCCCATAACGTTGGAACCCGTCACTCGCTAAACCTAATCGAACAATTTTTAACTCAGCTGAAAAGGTGGGATGTCGTGCATCAAAGGATTTCCATGTTATTGAGTCAGATGGATGTCGCAAGACACCATTTCCCTCCTTGTGCCACCTCGTCTTTTTAGCTGTTTCTCTTGTCATGTACAATCTTTGAAGCCTTGGTTTGATTGGAAAATGCCGCAAGATTTTATGAGCTACTTTCTTTCCTCCGTGTTATTCGGACTTCCATCTAGACTTACCATACTTAGGACATGCTTGGACATCAGCATTATCACGCCAATATAAAATACAATCATTTCGACATGCATCTATTTTGGTGTACCCTAAGCCGAGGTCATAAAGAACTTTCTTTGCTTCATAGAAAGACTTAGTCACAAATGACCCCTCTGGAAGAATTTCTTTGAAGAAGCTCAATAATGCATCCATCGATTTGTTGCTCCAATGGTTAAGACACTTCAAGTGAAGTAGTTTAACAACAAAAGACAACTTCGAAACTTTTTTACAACCAGGATAAGGTTCTGTCTCAGCATCTTCTAACAATTTGTAGAACTTTGTTGCATGTACATTTGACTCTTCATTGTCCTCTGAATTATTATTATTATCCTCCACATTCGTATATCCACAAGCATCGTGAATCATTTCAGTAATATTATCCTCTTCAATGCTATCATGTTCCGCTTCATCACTAACTGCAGTATTAGAAGTTTCAACTCTAACTAACACTTCTCCATGCAAGTTCCGCACTTTATAAGAATCACAAAAACCCTTCTTCAATAAATCTCCTCTTACACCAACCCTTAGCTTGAACACGGTATTCATACACCCATTACAAGGACACCGAATCATAGTGTTCACCGTTGGTTAACTGAATGCCCAATTAAGAAAGTTGTCTACTCCATCTCTATATCTTTGGTCGACTCTATTCCTAATATTCAACCAACTTTTATCCATCATATCTATATTAAAAAAATAAATAAATTAATTTGCTAATTAAAAGGGGAAGGATTATAATAATCAAAATATATATAATAATTAACATATACCAGGGGTATTCAGACAAGCAGTCACAAAAACAGATTATTCAAACAAGAAGGAAGTAGTCTATTCCAGAATTACTTATACGGATTGTGTGCAATGAAGAACAAGTTCAAACCAGGGTACGTAACACTCTATGAAACTACAAAAATACATGACCTTAGTAATGTGTTGATTAAGTTTCTGCCAGGTAGTATGCAAGACTGACAACTTCAACAAACGGTATTCAGAAATCATATAACAAAATTTCTTTCGCTGGACGGAATCAGAAGATAGTTAAACGGGCAGAGAAATTACGAGGAAAAAGCATTTCTGGTGATCTTCTGCTTCTTTGATCACTGTCAAGTCTTTAGGTAATTAACAATATCAGATTCATACTAATCCTTTAAATCTCAAACACGACAAGGAAGAAGCACGCTATAGGGTACAAACTGAACAGGACAAGGAAGAAGCACGCGATGGGTTACAAATTCAAGAAAAAAGCAAAAACAACAAAATTACCAACTAAAATCATTAAACCTATAAAGCCAACCAATGTATATCATTCAATCAAAGGCCAGGCAAATTAAATACATTGTACCTGCTTGAACCATACAAATTTCTTACCTGAACAGCTAGAAATAAGCTGCCTCCCTGATCCTTACGAAATTACAGGACAACAACAAAAACCCCAGTGTAATCCCACAAGTGGAGCCTTGCGAAATTACAGGGCTTATGCAGAGAAATATCAAACTCGGTCGGAACCTAGTCACTGCAGTGTGAGACGGACAGTGATTTTTTACTTGAACACATTCCTGCAAGGCATAAGTACAGTAAGATACAATATTAAGGAAGCAGATGACATCAAATAGGAAACTGATAATTTGAAATTTATCTAGTCTCATTAACAGATATGTATGATGATATTTTTAGATTAAACGAACTTAAAGCAAGTACTTTTTCTCAAAGTTGAAGAAGCTTTGAATCGACTTCCGCAGCAGTGGTCTTCTTCTTCGCACACTCTGATTCACAAATTCAAACCAAAACTCGTCAAACCAGCTTCCAATCTTGAGATTTAGCTTCAAAATGAAGTTTCCGGCAAGTATCAGAAACACCCAATCGAATTCACATTCTGATTTGAGGGATTTCGATTTGGGTGAGATTTTTGAGGGATTTCGATTTGGGATTTCTATATCTGGACAGATTTCTAACTAGAGAGGACCGATTTTGGGTTTCAATTTGGGATTTCTAGCTATAGAGGACGGATTTTGGGCGTTTCACTGTTCTTCACATCGAGTCGATGTGTTCGAGATGAGAGTCGATGTGTTCTTCACTTCTATCTCTTGACCAACGATTTTAGTGTTTCTTTTGTTATTTTAATTTCTAGCTTAATTCTTTTGTTATTTTAAAAGGTAACAGGAGCGACCCGGTCGCTGCAATTAATATTTAGTGGCGACATCACAATAGTCGCCACAATAAATATGGAGCCAAAATTTTAGTTTTAGCGGGAGTGAAAATTTTAGCCACTTTAGAGGCGACCCATAAATAGTCGCTGTTAAATATATTCAAACTGTGGCGACTTTTGAAGTCGCTGCTGATAATGTATATTTTGTAGCAACTTATAGGGTTGCTGCTAAATGTCGCCACTAATTATCCAATTTCTTGTAGTGCGCTTTACATCTTCTACACAACTCCGATTGTACATAATATAGTGAACGAGCTTCCAAAGATACTCCACTCTTAGAAGCTAGCAGTACTTACATTGTTTCCCTTCTTATGGAACGATTGATGTTGCTGTTACTTCTCTTATTCTTATCTTATCAATGTTATTGGTACTTCCTGATTCTTATAAGATCCATGACGAAGAGTTAGTCCTAATAACGTGTACGGAGGCTTCCCACCTTACGCCACTCCGAAAGGTTCAGAATGTGATTCCATGAGTCCATCATGCATTATATATATGTACCTATTTTACTCTACCGAGTTGCGCTATAGTCAGCCGGGTATGACACCTATTGTGCAACTACTGATCAATTGGATTTTACCGAGCTCCACGTGGCCGTGTACGATTCTGTCAATCCTTATGATGGCGGGTACGTTTTTACCGAGCCTATTACGACTGGGTACGATATGATGATGATGCCCACAGAGGCGTTTATTTTTAAATATATATATATATATATATACACACACACACACACACACATATATGTATCATGCATTTCATATCAGTCGTCCTCAGAGGCACTCAGATGTTACAGGTAGGATATTTTCTTTCCTTGCTTACATTACTAATCTTATTTATGCTTTCCTACCTTACATACTCGGAACTTTATTCGTATTGACGTTCCTTTTATTTGTGGACGATGTATGTCGTGTTGCAGGTCCTGATAGATAGTTAGATGCAGCTCCCCCCACCACAGTAGGCTACCCAGTTCAACGATTATTGGCGAGATCCCTTCTCTGGACTTGCCGTGGTCTTGGTATGCACTTTTGTTATAGAAATTATGGGTATGTCGGGGCCCTGTTCCGGCAATCATGCAGCACTTATGTTCCTTTAGAGACTCATATACATGTGTTGACTCATGTATAGTTTGGATTGCCCTGTCGACTGATTTTTGTTGTATAGTCTCATGGCAGCTTGTCACCTCGTATCTTATATATAGCTTCATGAAAGCCTTGTCGCCCATGTTATATATGTTCATGCCATTATTTGTCATTGTTGGTTGTTTAGGATTCATGTCTACCATTTATATTGATCTTGTCAGCCCTTATATAAAATGAGAAAGGTTAGATAAAGTGTACGTTGATGCTCGGCAGGTATGGCCCGGGTGCCAGTCATGGCCCTCCAGTTTGGGTCGTGACAACCCCAAAGGTAAAACGCCCACAAAATATTACACAATTTAGGCCAATTAGCCTATGAAATACTAGATACAAGACTATTACAAAGATTATAGTAAATCGAATTACATCCCTTCTTAACAATATAATCAGTCCTAACCAGTGCAACTTTATTCAGGAAGGAGAGCCATTGACAATGCAATAATTATCCAAGAAGCAATCCACTCATTCAGAAAAACTACTGGCCGCACTGGAAAATGATGCTAAGATCGACCTTGGAAAGGCGTTTGACATGCTTGAATGGTCCTTGTTAGAAATTCGATGCAAGCTCTAAATTTTCCAAATGATCTGATAACTTTAATAATGAATTTCATATCAACGACTTCCACATCTATCATTGCAAATGGTAAATCAACTGATTTTTTCAAACCCTCTAGGGTATCGTCNGTCGTGTTGCAGGTCCTGATAGATAGTTAGATGCAGCTCCCCCCACCACAGTAGGCTACCCAGTTCAACGATTATTGGCGAGATCCCTTCTCTGGACTTGCCGTGGTCTTGGTATGCACTTTTGTTATAGAAATTATGGGTATGTCGGGGCCCTGTTCCGGCAATATTCCAGCACTTATGTTCCTTTAGAGGCTCATAGACAGTTGTCGACTCATGTATAGTTTGGATTGCCTTGTCAGCTGATTTTTTTGTATAGTCTCTCATGGCAGCTTTCAGCTCGTACCTTATATATAGCTTCATGACAGCCTTGTCGGCCCATGTTATGTATGTTCATGCCATTATCTGTCATTGTTGGTTGTTCATGATTCATGTCTACCATTTATGTTGATCTCGTCGGCCCGTATAGATAATAAGAAAGGTTAGATAAAATGTACGTTGGTGCTCGGCAGGTATGGCTCGGGTGCTAGTCATGGCCCTCCAGGATGGGTCGTGACACTTATTAAAAACTTAGTCGACTTAGGAGAGAATTAGTTAACTTCACTTTATCAGCAGGTTTGATTTGCAATGGAAATAAATTGCGTGGAAATTAAGCTAAGAACACAAGAGTTTTATACTGGTTCATTACCAGTGTGGTACCTACATCCAGTTCCCTTGGTCACAAAGGTTCTCTTAGATCTTCAATAGTTTGTTACGACAGTTGTGGTTTTTGTATCGTTTACCACCAACGATTTTCAGCAACAATTTTTTTCAAACTTGACACAAATCTTATTTTGTTTCCTAACACTTCCTATCTTTCGAGACACTAGTAAACTCAGAAATATAGTGTTTGTGCTAAGAACTAGAAAGGTATAGAAATAGTGATAAGTTGCATAACAGAATTCTTGAGTCTGCCAGTCTTCTTATACGAGAGTCTTGAGTACCCATTGCAGATTAACCCTTGATTGAGGCACAAAATATTCTAAGAGTTTTTACCCAAGGGGTGCCTCAGAATTCCGCTCAAGAGATGGGCTAGATTCATTAACTTCCTTCCTCTTCGCATTCACAATCAAGGGAGTGATTTGTGATTTGACTTGATCGATCGATCCTCAGAATCTTCAGATTTCTTTTCACCAAATCGATCCTTGAAGTAAGGTTTGTCTCCCTATAGCGACTGCACTTGATCTTGTTTCTGTTTTGTTGGCTTTGACATCCTTTGATTTGGTATTGTCCTTGCTGTGTTTGATCTTGTTTCCTTTCTGTTGTCCTTGACATCTTGACTTCCTTTGATTGAGCATTGTTATCCTAATTTCCTGCAATCAAATAGATACAATTAGATTTGCACTATTTTCATCATTAAAACTTAAGTATATATATATATATATATATATAAATAAAAGAAGTCCATTAAGTATACAAAGATATTAAATTTCGAATCAGTTATTAACACAATGTTTTGTTATAAAATCCCTAACTCATAATGTTCAAATGCTTGATGTGTCATTCCTTACCAAAAATAAAATACAAATCATAAAAAGAAGCAATAGGTTAATTTCACACAGCATGGGAAGCTTAACTCTTTGCCAGTTATGCCTTATTGAAGTTGATGTTGCATGCAAGTCAAGTATGCTACCGATATCATATTATTACTCCTCTTTTATTTTTTAAGAAAATTATCCAATAAAATAAAATAATACAAAGTCGTTGAAAGGTATGTTTCCAAAGGGACAATAAAGTCAACTTATCAGGTCCTTTGGTCAATTCACGTGCTGTGTTTTATGTTAACTGCCAGCAGCAGCTTCCTATCTATGCCTTTGTATAATTAGTTGCGTGCGTACTTATATGGCTTAGAAGACATATATTTCCTCATCCAATGATACTGAATTTGAGAAAAAAATGTAAATTCTTGAAACCTGTGGTCATCTAAAACAAATGTTAGATATTTATATCGTTATAAATTATTTCATTAAGGTTAAATATAAATAGAGATAGAAAGGTACAAACGTTTTATATGTAACAAACTAAAAAGAATAGCATACCGTATAAATCGGGATAGAAAAGAATAATAACTAATCCTCTTCATAGATGAAATAGACCCCTTTATGCATAAATTAGTAAGGCGTTGAGCTACCTTGAAAGGTACAGAGTTTTTACCAAAAGTCCAACCTAAGTTCATTTTGTGCGATGTGTAGTTTAATTGCCATATATACTACTGCATCTCCGTTAATATTTTCAATATGTCATGATTCCATAATTGTTGTTTCACATTTAAATTTCTATCACTTTTTAATAAATTCAAGTCGAATACTTCACACCTATATAGTCTCAGAGGCATTTTTCTATTGAAAGGTCAGTTCTGATTGTACTGAATATATTGATGAATTTTAACGGATGATGTCAGATTAGTTATCATTATTTTAATCACCAATTACTATTTAAATTTTATTAAGAGATTTATTTATAATCACGTAATTATATAAATATTTTTTTCACCATAAAGCTTAAACTAAAAAGAGAAGAAGTAGAGAGAAATTAAAGAAGTAGGCTGGTAGTTGGACTCTTAGGGCTCGTTTGATAATTAATACTGGGATTAACAATCTCGGGATAATTGTTCCAAACGAAACGACCCCTTAGAGATATAGTAAGACTCATCCATCAACGAGAATAGAAAAAGTAACGAAAGGACAAAATAGTTATCAGCACTTAGTTCCAAGTGGCAATTCAATAAAATATAGTGTAGTATGTTGTTAGCCATAAACAACAAGTAGCACAAAAAGGTTTATGTATTAGGCCACATGATGCTTCGTTTCTCCATCCCAGAAGGCTACTGTGAAACCTCTTCTCATCTTCTTAATGGAGTCTCAAATTTCTGAGCTTTATAACAATCCTCACCACACTCTCTTTTTCCACTTAATTTCAAATTACCTTCCACCGTCTTAAACAATTCTCTTGTTTTCACTAAAGGATCTAAACTAATGGCATCACCACAAGAGAATTGCACTACATGATCATTTGATATGATTATGGATTATTACTGCTCCGAAACTACCACCCTTTATTCCCAAAGCTCCTCCTCTTCTGAATCTCTTGACCAAACGTGTCAGCTGCTCATATTAGTTCAAATTCTCCCAAGCAAACATTGCGATACCAATGAAGCAGGTTCAGAATGTGGAAATTTCCAACGACACCGAGAAGAAGCATTACAGAGGAGTTAGGCAAAGTCCATGGGGAAAGTTCGCAGCAGAAATTCGTGACCCGAACCGAAAGGGAAATCAAGATGAAGATGAAAGAGTACTCCCGACGCCGGCGGCAGCTCCATTAACGCCGTCAAGTTGGTCGGCGACTTGGGACAGTGGAGACGGAAAGGGAATTTTTGAGGTGCCGCCACTATCACCATTATGGCCTATTCTCAGGTTGTGATGATATGATCAGATAAGGAATGATGATATAGACTGAGGTGTTAGTATTTGGTAGATGAAGAATAAAATATTGCACCTGACGGTAAAAAGTATGTGGTGATTAACTTCTCAACCCAAAAAGAAATATGGGGAAGTGGGGTAGCTACGGGAATTAGTTATTCAAATGGTGATAATGAAGATGGTGGGTTTGTTTGGTCTCCTCGATTCTTTTGATTAAATTTTATTGTTTACGTAAAGAAACGTCAGTCAAAAATCTGTTTGATTGTTTATATTGTTTGCTAAATAGGTCTTCGCCCTTACGCCTTTATATATAATAGAAAAAAATTAGATAGTTGTATATAGAATTAGCCAGATCGTCTGAAGCATGAACAGAATCGCCTTTGTTCTGAAGGCCTAGCGAGTTCCTTTTTTTTTTTTCAAAGGCGGTCCTTTTCTTTCCTCGGACCGATGACTCGCTTGTTCAGTACTGCTAACTATTATAGGAGGATGTCGCCCCCTCGGGACTACCAGTAGCTTCGGTTGTTGAATCTCGTGCAAGTTAGGTTGTGGTTGGGTGTGTGTTACTTTGGCCTTTTTTTAGTGGTTAATTTTCATGCCTAAGTAAATCAGTTGTACATTGTTGAATTGAATGTTCTTTTTGGTTGTTTTCAGTTGGGTTGGATATTTATCTTTTGTGTTTATAAAGGGAAAATGTAAAGGTAGCTAGGTAGGCATTGAATATGCATAAAAATATAATTTAGAACCCAATAATTTAAAAGGATTGCAACGCCGAACCCATAATCTTCAAATCATGGCTCCGCCTCTGGGCTCGAACCGTGACCTCCTGATCACATGGCATCAACTTTACTAGTTACGTCAAATATCCCTGGAACAACTGTAAAATAAACTCCATCTTAGTCTACCCGACTTTGACTTTGACTTGAAAGAGTAAGTTTTCGCCTCTGTTGTTGAAAAGCCAGGACCCGTTGGGGAATCTATTCTAGACCCGCCTGCCAGCCCTAAATCTATCTTACTCTTCCTTGGTCTCTTCCACGAATCGGTGGATATGAAATAGAATGAATTCAAGGACAAAGTCGCCGGTATACCACATTCCACCAGTCATATTGATTTGATTAGCTTACTGTTCGCGACAAATTTCGTGTACGGAAATTAATAACTGCAATCACGAAAGAAAAATTCTTTTTTTAATAAAACTTGTGAGTACAACTCTGTGTATCTCCTGATTCTTGTCTCTAATTTGTTTTCCTTGATTCTGTACTCTTTGTTAAACTAAATAAATGATAACTGAGGTGAAAGGTGAATTTTAGTCAAGCATAATAAATCTTAGATCTAGCTTAGAGTTTGGGTGATACCGTTTATTTAATGCTCATAATTGTGTAATCAATCATTAAATATGCACTTTAGAGAGTAAAGGAAGAGTGAGTAATGAGCAATAAATATGAGAAACGACATAAATGTAAATAGGAAGAACACTTCACCCAAATATCAAATGATGTGGAAGATTCTTCCTTCTGACAATGAAATATGGCAGTAAACAAGAATATAAGCAATGATTTCTTGGATCATGTGAGTGAAAAGGAAGAATAATCGATAAAATCAATCACTATGGAAAGGTGAACTTTGTATTTTCTCTCAAGGGTAAACTCTTTACAATAGTTTTCTCAAATTCAATCTCACATGCCCTTTTCCTTCTCTCTCTCTTTCTATTTATATGAGATATTCTCTAAAAACCCTAAAAAGTACAACAAAGGGAATATCCAGGAGAATATTCTTGTCACTAGTTCCAAGACTACACTAGCCGTTATTCCTACACTTCGCTACTCGTCCTCGACCTCTACGACTCGCTCAGCGAATGCTCGTTGTTGGGCTTTGGTCGACCTCGTCCTATCCGCCCAAATCGGAACACAATCTTTTCACCTTACGATCTTTCCACGCCCAACTTCCGCAGCAAGATTTTATTATAGTTAGTCCCTCCGCTAGTCAGGGTCGCCTTCTAGTGGGCCCCAATGAGCGGACCTTTTCAGTCGGCGATTTGTAAAGAAATTTTTGGCGTGGTGATCGAGTGGAGGTGTCCGTTGCCGAAGTAATGACGTGTCACTTTGAGATTCGTGGGTCATGGGGTTGGTGCAGGATGATGTCACAACGCATGCGTCATCATTGCGCATCTTCCCGACGCGTTGCCTCGTTCCTCGAATCCCTGTCATTTCGATTCTAGGGCCACTAGCGGTTGCTTGCATCAATTCGAACGCCCCTGAGGTCTGTAAATAAAGAGGGGGAAACTTCTCAAAGAAACTTTTGCACTCTTCTAGTATCTTCAGCCCTACACTTGCTTCCTTTTCTCCTCCTTGTGTTCTTGCTTCCTGTAACCGCTGCCATTGCCACCCCTTCTTCTTTTTTTGTCTCCTCATATACACATTATAGGAAAATAGCTACCGTAACCCCCAACGCTGAGATAGTTTCCGACACTACTCCATTATTGGTGTCCATGCCTTCTGGTGGCGGAGAACCAGCGGTGGTAGAGGATGAAAGCTTTCCCACTGTGGAGGAGATAATTCCTCGTAACCCTACTTCCAGGTCTGACTTCTCTAAAGAACCCACCCTTGAACCGAAATCTGCGAATTCGGAGGTGGAGGCGAAACACCTTGCCGCCCTTAGGGCCAAGTACGGCATTCCGGCCCACGTTGACCTGGTTCCGGCCGGAGACGACGTGATTCAAGTTCACAGTCCTGGGTATTGTGCGTTTTACGCCTACCCTTTCCATAAAGGCTATTCTCTTCCTCTTCCTCCGTTGGCGGAGGAGTTCTACCGCTACTACCGTATTTGCCCGGCACAACCTACCTTTACAAATCCTTATGTTGCCGAAGTTTGCAGAGCTAGCCGGCTGCGAAGTCTCTATCTGCCACCTTCTACATCTCTTCGGGCCGAGCTTCCATAGGGGCACGATGATTCACCTCCGCTACCGTGGAACCAAAGGGTTGGTGGCGGGGATAGATGACAGGACGAACCGCCATTTTTGGGCCTATTATTTCTTTGTTAAAATCGAGCACGTGGTGGCAAACCCTAGCGACTTTCCTCAACAATGGAATTTTGCTCGTACGTATCATTATTTGGGGTACGTTCTTCCCTTCTCTTCATGATTTGTGACCTGGTACGTCGTTTTTCCCTTTGCAGCTGAGAGGCATCCCCGCATCTCTGGTCGCCGATATCAGTGATTGGGTGGCCCGCATTTTACCTCACACCATTAGGATCCGCGACTGGGCGTCCTTCAACAAGAGATTCGAGCTCAAGCCGTCGACCGCTAAGTCGGGTTTCTCCCTTATAACTATTTCGCTTTTGTTGAGGTGAATTTTTTTTGTTTACGATTTTTCCTTTGATGCTAGGTCGGAGAACTTCTAAGAAGGCGAAGGCTCCTATCCCTGCATTCCGTCAGGCCGTTGCTTCGGGTGGGATGCAGTTTGTGTTGGCCGAGTCTGTGCGAAATACTTCTTCCCAGACTCCAGTATTAAGTGAGCCTGGTCGTCAGACGGCTATTCCGTCAGTGGAGATCCCAGCTTGCCCGGTGGTTCATTTAGTGGATAACTCTTCCCCTGGCAAGGAGGACGCGGCGCCATTGAAGAGGCGATGAGTGGAGGCCGTGGTCGCACCTGAACGGGCCATGATCGTGGATTTGGAGGCGACATGCACTTCAGCCACTGGGACTGCTCCCCCACTGGAGATTGTCGCGAAAGCTAAGTCGTTGAAGACGACGGAGCTAGCTGCGGAAATGGATACAACGCGAGCAGCCGAGGCTGGCTCATCATCTGCTGGTGGTAGAGGAAAAATGGTCGCCGTGGAGGATGAGGGGTATGGTTCTGATATCGACCCCGAGGAGGTACGGGCTTTCGAGGAGAGATTTACTCGGGTGGAGGTGAGGACCGAAGGGTCCACTCGAAATATTGTCATCCACATGGATTTTAACTTGCTGGTCAACTCGGAGAGCGTGGTTCCAGCTTTTGCCCCTCCACACGCGGAGCCCGAGAACAGGACCTTGCAGACGCTGAAGGAGGCGGACCTGTTCTTAGGCATTTCTAGGATAGCCCTGCGAGTAAGCCCCCTTTTAGCGTTTCAATTTCTCCTTCCTTTTATGTTATTTTTCTTTGTTGACCCTTCTTCATCTGTTTATCAGACCCTCATCTTGGATATTGAGAGCGCCCGTCGGGAGGAGAAGAGGACGAGACTCTACAAGAAGATGGAGTCAAAATACAGAGAGTACCGTACCAAGCACAAAGCCCTGGTCCGTATGCTTGGCGAGAACGCTTTGTTCCCAACCCTCCGTGACGATCTGAGGCAGAAGAATGAGGAGTTGAAGGCGAAGGATGATGAGTTGAGGGAGAAGGATGACGAGTTCAAGGATTATTGGCAGGTGCAACGAGCTCGAAGAGATGTTAAGGACCAAGAACGATGAGCTCGAGGTGAGCAAGGGGGTCATAGCTGAGTGTGTCGACCTCCAAGCTCAGGTGACGTCTTCATGGGCCGAGCTTGAGCAGAGCGCAACTGTAGTTAACGGCTTAAGGGACGAGCTGGCTACCAAAGCTGCGGAGTTGGCGCAACTTGAGAGAGCTAGATCGGCTGCTGTGGCAGAGGAGGCGACACTAGCGGGCACCCTCTGCGTCTTCAGATCAGAGTGGGCTAGCGATGCAGAGATCTTTGCTCTTAAAGAGGCGAGACTTGAAGAGCGGATACGCGGACAAGAAGGAGACGTTCAAGATTTTTACAAGCAGATAGCTGTCCTTAAGGCCGGGAAAGTGCCTTAGCAGGCTCAGCCGTCTACAGACATGCTTCCACTTACCCCAACATCGCACAAGACTTGTACGAGAAGTGGGTCCATGTTGAGGCTCATCTTGACATATGCCGAGGTTTGATGGCGGCCGAAAAAGCCTCTGAGGCGGAGTTTGAGGATGCCCATGTTAAGGCACGTGCAGCTCGTGCCGCTTGCGGCTATGACCCCGGCACGCCCGGGATGGACAATGACGAGAAAGGCTTGGACGAGATTGATCCAGATCTTTGGTACGAGGACGAGTACTTTAATAGTGAGGGTGGAGATGGTGCTGCTGGGCCGGGCAGAGATGATGCAGTGTGATTTTCTTGTACTTAGTTTTTTCCTGTTTTCTCTTTTTTTTGGAGGGGTTCTTTTTGGCCCTTTGTAAGATATTCTTCATTTTGGAATGGAATGACTATTGTCCTTTTGTTGTATGTTTTGTCTCTTTTCATTTTTCTTCATATGCTTTTTTCCTTTGCATGAGTTCCTGACTTAGTTGACGCGACCGAGGTTGAATGTCAATTAATTTGAGATAGGTCGAACGCTGGTTGGTTTGAGCAAGGTCGAATGTTAATAAATTTCGAATGGAGTCGAATGTGAGTCGATTCGAGCGAGGTCGAATGTGAGTAAATTCGAACGAGGTCAAATGTGAGTAAATTCGAACAAGGCCGAATGTGAATTGATTCGAGCGAGGTCAAATGTTTGACTCTTTAAGTGATCCGAACGAGGCCGAATATTTGACTCTTTAAGTGATTCGAACGAGGTCGAATGTAAATAAATTCGAACGAGGTCGAATGTGAGTCGATTCGAGCAAGGTCGAATT